AAACTGAACTCACTTTTATTAACTCACAAAACCATTCAAAACAAGGCCTTTCCAAAAAAGTTGAAAATAAATACATCCATTGAAACCTTTCAATGAACCGGAGAACGAGTAAGTGATTGCTTTCTAGGTACCGGCAGAAAGGTGAAGGAGAGAGCCGAAGTTACTTTAAGTTGCTAATTGTTTTCTGAAAATCACTGTTTAGGCCTTAAAAGTAACCAGTGAGCAATGTCTTTTCTGTTCAGAGTTAGGAAACTTTATGCTTTCTGGGTCAAAAAAATGCTCTTAGGTGCAATCATTTTAAAACAAACAAACACACTCTGCTTATCTGTGTCCATCTCACCACTTTGGACGTTAATCATCACTGAAATAGATACCCCAGTCCCTTGGCCTCAAAGAGCTCCAAGCCTACAAGACCCTGGCTAAGGAATGAATGTACATGCCAGGGCAAACACCTCAGAGCCTGACTCCCTAAACACCTATTGTTAATTCTAGGCAAATCTATGACAAGCAAATTTAAGAGAGAACCCAGGTAATGCTCAAAGGATATTTGAAATAAAACTCAAGTTTGAAAACATACAGGACTTACTTTAGAAGGGAGATGATCAAGAGAGGTGAAAGTACTTAATATAAGACTGCAAAAGTATTTTTTAAATAGATTTACATACATGGGTATACTTTTTTCTTTCCATTCCTTGTTTTTGTTAATTTACAGTGTCAGAATTTACAATTAGCACCTTTGCTCTTCCACCTGTCATATTTTCTAACTTATTGCATTTAGCCTATATTATAAACTGACAGAGTTAAATTTCATTGTTTTGTTCTTGAAGACTGAACTAGCTTAGTTTTGCCTCTACTCTTTAGGGAAAACTTAAAAGATTGCTATATGAAACATTTCCTTGATTTTTATATTAAAGATATTTCTATTCCCCCAGGATTCGTAAAACTTTCAAATTAAACTGATTTTAAACCAGATGACTGACTCAAACTGTCTTTGTGTCCACTTTAAAAAAAAAAAAAGCTCAGGAAACCTACCAGTGTTCACTGTTTGGGCAAGAGGCCTAAAGGGAAGCAAATTATTTGTTTGTGGTTTCAAAGTGGCCAAAATGCCTTCAAGCACAAGTATAAGACCATTAACAAATCACAAGGAACCAAAGCAGTTCATCTTACTCAACAAAGCTATGATCAGTTAGGAAGAGCCAAACTGAATGGGACTTGCCCTGGGCCGGAAGGTCAGTAAACCTTAGCAGTTTGTGTTTCTGAGAATTCAGGAGGCTCTTCGGCAGGGAGAGCAGACCCTAAAGCCCACAGCTTCTGCTGTCATGTTTCCAAAAACATTCAGGACAGGTGAGAGAAATTCAGCCGTGTGTGCGTTTTCCCCCACCTTCTGTCTTTAGGCAGCCTCTCTAAGTCAAACCATCTCCACTTTTGCTCTATATAGACTGACTAGAGGAGAAGTCATGAAACTTGAAAGTTCCATTTTACAACAATTTATTGAGTGCCTACTACTTGCTGAACACTGTGCTATCACTTACACATCACAATGGTTAAGCCTCGTTTTACTGGCTATATTACTCTCATTCTTTATAGATGAGAAAACTCTGGGGCAGTGAAGTTGTGTGGCTCCTGATAAAATGAAGTTTTGTGCTTATAAAAACTTGTCCTACTGTCCAGTGTACAGTTAATTAGCCCAAAATATGAACTGTAGCCCTGCCACAATCCAAACAGCCATACTTTCATTTAACTCTGGGCCCAGGCTCCCTAATGCCCTAAGATGACTGGGGTACATGCCATCTCCCTCCAGGGATGATAACCACCCCTCTTGGTGGGTTATCATGTCTCTGCAGCTGTCCAAAAACAGACCACACTGGTAAACATTCTCTCCACCTGCTGTAACATGCATAACTTTTCCCCTCAATTCAGAAAACATCAGCATGACCCTGCTCTTTATCAAGTGTTATGGTAAAACAACTTCCTAGAAGTCTGGCAATACCACATCCTAGGATACAGGCAAGAAATCAAAACATGTGGCTAAAAAATAACAAAGCCAAATCATCTGGCAGTTGCAACGCACTTTATACTGTAAACTCATTTTCATTTTGTTATTATCACTTACAGAATGCACACTTATTCACATTATCTCCCAGAGCATTTGAAAAGGAAAGAAAAATAAACATAAATTCTTTCATTTGTTCATTCAGTCTCTATAAGGAGAGCAGTCTATGGCCATACCACCTTGAACATGCCCAAACTCATCTATAAGGAGAGCAAGAAAGCCAAATTTTGCTATGGCTAGATTGGGTTTAGGCATTTCAGACAACTGCTCTTCTAGGTCAACTGATACGTTCTCTGAGTTTTTTGTCATAAGAAATGAAGATGGGCTACCCTGGTGGTCCAGTGGTAAGAATCCACCTTGCAATGCAAGGGACACTGGTTCAGTCCCTAGTCTGGGAAGATCCCAAACCTGGCAGGGCAATGAGGTCCATGTGCCACAACTACTGAGCCTCTGCTCTGGAGGCCACGTGTAACAATTACAAAAGCCCACGGCCCTAGAGCCTGTGCTCTGCAACAAGAGAAGCCCATGCAGCAACAAAGACCCAGCACATCAAAAATAAACAAATATATGTATATTTTAACAAAAAATGAAGGTAATAAGACTTATATGCCCCCCAAATCCAAGAAAATCATTATTATCAACAACAAAATCATACTAAAAATAATAAAAGTTAAAACAATAAGGTTCAAAATTTCCAAAAGATTGTAGCAATCCTGGACATCATTAATAATACCCAGCTGGAAAACATACTGAAAAAGAGATTGCAATCACACCAAAAAAAAGAATAGCATATTTAGGAATAATAACAGATATGTAGTTACTTTACAGTGAAATCCACAGAAACTTTTGAAAAGGCACAGAATTCTTTTTTTGCTAGGGGGCTGAATGAGAATGAAGATGTCACACTCTCACACACACACAAATCACAAATCCAACAAGGATAATTTAACCCTAACAGATATTACACTCTATCAAAAGGCAACAACACTTAAAATAGAATGGAAATGGAAAAATACATCAGTGGAACAAAATAGAGTTCAAATATAGACCCAATATATATACATACATCTATGTATGTATATGTGACTATATATACACATAGATATATCAAGTTAATATCTGTCGAAGTAAGCTTTCTAAAACAAATTATTTTGTCTTTCTAAAGGGAAAGACATGAATTACTTAACAAAAAGTTCAGTGGTAACTAGGTAACTGTTTAGGAAAAAAGAAGGTTGAATTCAGGGCCTCAGGGCCCTTACACCAAAAGAAAAGTGATATTGATGAAAGTGTTGACAATTTTTAAAAATCAAATTATAAGAAAACCAGCAGAATGTCAAGAAGAAGATTTATTATGTCTGTGGAGGAATCATAAATTTCTCAGTTTTGGAAGGGGAAGGAAAGATTTAAAAATCACACAAAAACTGACGTATTCTGATATATTTAAATCTAAAACTTCTATAGGCTAAAAACAGTGAAATAAAAAGAACAAACTGGGGAAAATATTTGCATCAAAGATGACAGAGCCTAATATCTATGACCCATAAGGATTGGAATCTATTATAAGAGTAGTGTCAATACCCCAATAATAAATGGGATAAGACTAGGAAAAGACAATCTCATAAGTGAAACAAACACAGGGGAAAATACTTATCCTGATAAAGGAAGGCAAAATAACAAAACTTTGAGATATCATTATATGTCCACTAAAATAGCAAAGATTTTTAAAATTCTTTTATGAAATCGCTGCTAGTGCCACTGTAACTTGGTACAATGCCTTTTTACAAACCATAACCTTTGACCCAATAATGCCAATCTTGAGAATTTATCCTAAGGAACCAATTCAAAAAGACATGTATTATACAGTATCTGACATATCTCAATAAAGCTGTTACCAAAAATGCACTGAATTATTCATTTCCTTGTTATCTATGACAGCAAAAAGCTGGATACAACATGAAAGTCTAATATTAGAAGAAAGTTTTTAATCTCATAGTACAGCCCACAAACATTATGTACCTATTCTGCTAGGATCAGTAGGATAGCAACTAAGCCGGGGAAGATGTGTGCAAATGAAAAGCAATTTTTAAAACTGAACAGCTGCCTAGAGGTGATGACATTATAACTTTTTATGTTTTAAACGAACTTTCCTTAATGTTGCTGTATTAAAACTTTAAAAATTTTTTTACTCCAAATTGGATGGAGTTGGGTGCAATCAGAAAGTTTTTACTCCAATTCCACACATTTTCTCCCCTTCCTATGTAACAGCTTACATGATTAAGTTCTGCATTCACAGACTTCAGATCCTACCAAGAACAGGCCAAATTACAATACCATGCCTTCGCGTACAGTCTGTATACCTCATCCAACTCCCTGTCATAAGCAGGTACCCTTTTTGTGTGTCATTCTGCCTCCATCAAGTCATAAATTATCGCTGACACTTGGACCAAGGGCCTTTTTTTTTGGAGTGTGAGCCCTTTTCTCCATATTTGATTTTATCAGAGCCCAGAAGCCTAACGACCCTTAGAAGAGAGTGAGAGGATGAATGTCTATAAAAACGTCCTGATAGACCACATAGGGGACATGGGTCCTACACCTGGATGGGAGGAGGCCTCTAAAGCCACAGACCAGCCGGGCTCCTCCGGAGCTAAGGAACCCAGGCGGTCAACGTCTGTGAAACGGCACATTTAATAGCTGAAGAGAGTGCTTAAGATGGCTAATTATGAGGAGCTGCCCACAGAGAGGGTGCTGACTAAGGGAGATGCTCTAGGGAGGTTTCCTCAGATGGAGGCCTCCGAGAGGAACTGGGTGCTCGGGAAGTGGTCGGGGGAGGCCGGGTTTGGACCTCGGAATTCAGGGTACGACATGGCCCCAGGCCGACCAGGCCGCGACGCCCCGCCCTTTCCCGGGACGCGGGCCGGCCTGGGGCGGGGAGCGGGCGGGCGCTTACAGGTCGGTGCCGAGCCGCGTGAAGCCGGAGTTGAGCGAGGCCCGGGCTATCCGGCGCCAGAGCAGGTCGCAGCTGGTGAAGCGCCGCAGCCAGCGGCACACCTGAGCCAGGCGGCCGAGGGCCTGCATGTCCAGGTAGGAAAAGATGAGCAGCAGCAGCTCCTCCGGCAGGCGCAGGAGTGCGGGCCCCGCGGCAGGGCGGCAGGCTGGCTCCCGGGCCGCCGCCGCCGCCTTCTCCTCAGCCGCTGTCGCCATGGCCGCCCGTGTCCCCGCGAGGCGGCCCCAAGCCTGACCCCCTCGTCCCTGTGCTCTTGCCGGCCTGGCGTCCTCCCGCCTCCCAGTCCTGACCCTCCATTCCTCCTTCTTCCCCTCATCTCTTCCTTTGGCCTCCTTTCGCGTCCCTGCGCTCCCCTCATCTCCTCTGACGAGCCTTCTCGCCCCTTCCTCCACGCTTCCGCCTCTCTCTCCTGCCTTTCCTAGGCCTGCACTCGGTCCCGCCTCGGCCCCCAGCCCCGTTTCCTCCTTCGCCTGTGGCGGCTCCGGCTTTCCTTCCGCCCCGCTTCCTTTTCCGCCTTGCCCTGCTCCCGCTTTCCCCTTCCCCTTCCTCCGCTTTCCTCTCGCGGCTCTCTCTTCCTCCTGCAGTTTCCTCGTCTCCCCGCTCTCGCCCTCGCCGGGCCCACCGTTCCCGGGGGGCCCCACGCCGCCCTGGCTACCCATGAGCGGCCGCGGGGCCAGCCCGACGCGGACGCAAGCCCGAGCCGCTGCCACAGCCGCCGCCCCGGGAGGAGGCGACACCATGCCGGACCGGGTCACATGGGGCGGCGCGGGCCGAGGCCTGGGCCCGCCCCTCACACCCGAGGCCGTGGAGCGGCCTCGTAGTGCGGGCGGGGGCCGGAGACCGGCCCCCTCCCATGCCCCAGGCCGCTCGGAGCTTGTGCTGGAAACACAGCGTGCGTTCATCTAGCACGTGAGGCCCACCAAGCGCCTGGTTAAGACCGCCAGAGGAGCTTCTGCCTTCAAGGAGCAGCTAGTTCGAGGTCCTGCCCTCAAGAAGCACCCACTTGGGTGGCCTTCCCCCTCTCATACCCCTCTTCTACCTCGTCTGATGCCTGCTTTCCACAGGCCATATACCAGGGCCTCGTGAACTGCACCCCCAGAAGTTGGCAGGTTCCTTAGGCCGGGATCTCACATGGGGTATATACCTCAGTTCTAGCAATGAGCTGGTATTTTTGACATTTTAGAAGATGGCAGTCCTCTAGATCCTGCCTCCACTCCCTGGTCATGGATAAGAAAATGGTAAAGCTATTAGTCGCCACCCAAGTGCCAGTGGATTCTCCAGGGTCATCCAGGAGCCCTTCCCCACACCATTCATTCCGTTCACGAGGGTACCATTTTGAAGGGAGAGCTAAGAAAAGTCTACCGAAGCCCCATGCTGTCCCATACTGTCCCCCCGAGTCACACATGGCTTAGGGGCATTGAAAATGTGACTCGTCCAAATTGAGGTGTGCTGTAAGTGTGAAAACCCACCGGATTTTGAAGACTTATGCAAGATAAAGAATGTGAACTATCATATTAATAGTTTTAATATTAAGTACATGTTGAAGTGATAAGATTTTTGATACATTGGCCTAAATATACTTTTGTAACTACTATAAAGGTTAGAGTTGTACATGGGACTTGAATTTGCGGCCCACGTTTTTTCGATTGAACAGCACTGGGGGAGGCAGTAAGATTTGCAGGTGGGGGAGGAAGACACCTATCCCTAAGTATCCTGTGCCCCAAACCCTAATAGTAAACATTTTAGGGGTTTATTTTGTTTTTACATCTTAAGATCCATTTTCAGGAGCAAGAATGAATGAAAAATCAACTCTGGAAATTATTCAACATGTAGCATAAGGAGAGACCTAGGAGAGGAAGGACATTGCATTATGTCACCGCAGAAGCATCATGTAACAAGGTCAGACCGGAATCTGGCTTTGCCCTAGAATTGCTTTTTGATCTTAGCAAAACAACAACAAAAAACCCCACCTATCTTGGCCTTTTAGTGTTCTCAGTCTGTAGTGGAGATAATGCCTCTGCCTTACTTTCGAGGGATAAATGAGATGATCCCTGTAAAATGCTTTGAACTCCTCTAAGAAAATTCTCAATAATAGTTACAGGTCAAATCCTGTTACAAAAAAATACTCTACAAAAGGTGTGTGTTGGGGTGGGGGGAGGTACAACAAAGGCTTTGTGTAGAAAAAAGATTTCCAAACTCCAGCCAGTGGTTTACTTATTAAAAGCAATATTTGACATGACATTTCAGTACAACTAAAGAATTTAGACCATCTCTTAGAAATCATTATAAAGATATTTACTTATTTCATACTGTTAGAAGGCTGTTGAGGTAGGAATGCTGAATATTGAGGTAATATCATCCATCAACTCAACATTTATTGATTTTGCTACAGTTGTATACTGTGAGCCACTCTGGAAGGAAAACAGATGATATGGTTCCTACATTTTATCTTCTGATTTGTGTTAAACATGTTTGTAATTTCTTACTGTTTGACTATTTCTTTTTAACCATTTCTTTACAGAGTAAAACTAAGTAATTCATCCACACTGTACCTAGTTTTCAGTAGAGGACTTGAAGGCACAGAAAATTGTTTAATTAAATCAAGTATTAAAATCCACAATCACACAAATGCAACTTACTCTTTATCCCATGTTGCCCTCATTGTTGGAGAAATTAAACCATCACTTAAAAATATCAAATCACCTTTTGCACCCAAATTGGAGATCAAGTGAACTGAAATTTATGGTTTACTGATTTCCAAAATAAGCCAAAGTACTCACTATGCAGAAAGGCAAAGCCAAAATGGAAAATTGGCATATATTCTGTTATTTGGTGGTGATTTGGTGTACCCCTAAATTCCTAAGCTATTGAAAAAAAAAACCCTTCAGAGGAGCACCTAGAATTTTTCATCAACCCTCCCTCCCTCACAAAACAAAGCAAAAAATGTGGGATTTAAACCAAACTTGAAAAAAACTACATCACAAAAAGCACTTTTAAAATTCTTTTTGGAGACAGGTTTTTTTTAAAAATCAGCTGGTTGAGAATTTCCTGGTGGTCCAGTGGTTAGGACTCCATCCTTTCACTGCCCAGGCCCTGGGTTCAATCTCTGGTTGAGGAACTAAGATTCTGCAAACTGCATGGTGCAGCCAAAAAAAAAGATAAAAAATCAGCTGGGGCTGAAAAAAATCATTTGTAACAAAAGTAAATGCATATCTTCATGGAATACTGAATGGTGTTTTATTATCAAAGAAAATAAACACCTTAATAGCTAGAAAAAAAATAAAAAGAGTACACTGGACTTCAGAACATCTTTAGAAAAGTCTTCAACTCCCTTGAAGTTCAAATCCAGGAAACATAGCGAAATAATATGAGGGGGGTTGAAATTTACCTTGTTTTTATAAGGCATTTTAAATTTAGAATTTGCATAATAAGTAAACTGTAAGCATTGGACTACTTTTAACTTAGAATGCCAAAAACATGAAATTCATAATATTTTAAAACATAAGACTCAATATGAATTTTTTTTCTATTTTTTTAATAGAAGATAGGTGATTTGCAATATCAGTTCTAGTTGTATAGCACAGAGGCTCAATATTTTTGTAGATTATATCCCATTTTAAGTTATTATAGAATATTGCCTATATTTCCTATGCTGTAAAATGTATGAGGCTTAATATGAATTTCACTGGGAATTTAGAAATACTAATATTAGTTTACTTTTAGAGAAGATGTTTAAGTTCAGATGTAAAGTTCTTCGTGTATGTCCGTGTAACTGACTTGCATAGTAGTAATTATTGTTATAGGTATTTTATATGTTTAGGATTGTGAAAAGGCTAGAACTGTGTGTTATGTACATTTTTGTAAACATAGATGACAATCTTAGGCAGGAGACTACTCCCACATCCAATATGCCAGTGCCCGCATGCCTCTTAAGCCCTCAGGGCCCCAGCCTTTAATTTTAAAAGTAAGCAGATTTAGCAGGGGAATTATTCTGAGATGAATGAGAAAGAATGAGATTATTTTGTGAATGACAATTTATAATAATAATAATAGCATATATTTATTGAGCACTGACTGTGTATCAGGCACTATTAGAAGAGCTTTCCATGTATTGTCTCACTCTTATCAATAACCACATAAGATATGATTAAACTTATATTTTTTGCAGAAGATGAAACTGAAGTGTATGGTCACACCATTCCTAAATGACAGAACAGGTATCAAATCTAGACATTCTAACCCCAAATTTCCTACTCTGAACTGTGTCTTCACCATGGTGGTGGTTTAGTCACTAAATTGTGTCCGACTCTTGCGACCCCGTGGACTGTACCCCATCAGACTCCTCTGTCCATGGGATTTCCCAGGCAGGAATACTGTAGTGGATTCCCATTTCCTTCTCCAGGGGATCTTTCCAGCCCAGGAATCGAACCCCAGTCTCCTGCATTGCAGGCGGATTCTTTACCAACTGAGCTACAAGGGAAGTCCTAAGCCTTCACCATACACAACAGAAAATGGAATAGGAATAAGGCACTGGATTCAGAGTCTTCTAGGATCCCTTTCAATTAATATAGCCACACCTAATGATATAGTTTTCCTCTGACCATCAGGCAGGTCTGGTATCTAAATAAAAGCTGCTTCTAAACAATTAAAGTAGATCCTGTCCTTGTCTCAACTATTAATACTTTCTAAGGGTTAACATGTAGAATCTACAGCCTCTTATGCTTTTCATAATCTTTTTGCAAAAGTTTAGAAGGATTTGTAGGAACTACTGTCTTGCAAAAGAACATATAACAAAAGTTTAGTAATTTCATCATTTTACTTCAGCTTCAATTTCTTTTGTTAAATTAAATAACAGTGTATGTGTAGTATGTATTATATGAGCCTTTTTTGTAAATTTGTCCCTATTTATATATATTCAAAAGGAGACTTTGTAGAATAATGCTAATAATGGTTATTTCTAGTAATGGAATTTTGTAATTTTACTTTGTACTTTTCCTTGTTGCTTGATTTTTTTTTTAAAGAAGCATGCATCACCTTTACAAAGTCAATAAAGTCTCCCAAAAAGAAAATTACAGTTGTTATGCATCCAAACACACCATGCAACAAGACAGTTGGAGAAGCCTAGATCATTGCCAGAGTTTTAAGACTAGCCACCTAAGTTTCTTCAAATTTTATTTCATTTAAAATGTGTCTCCTGTAATAGTAAAATAAAGAACAAATGAGAGTATAAGAAAGAAGAAATGAGGACTAACGATAAATGTATAAACATTTGAGCATCACATAAATAGAAAGATAGAGTCTAAAGTTTTATTTTCAGAAATTATACGTCAGATTCAGTTCAGTTCAGTCACTCAGTCATGTCTGACTCTTTGTGACCCCGTGGACTGCAGCACACCAGGCTTCTCTGTCCATCACCAGCTCCCGGAACCTGCTCAAACTCATGTTCATCAAGTCGGTGATGCCATCCAACCATCTCATCCTCTGTTGTCCCCTTCTCCTGCCTTCAATCTTTCCCAGTCAATCAGTTCTTTACATCAGGTGGCCAAAGTTTTGGAGCTTCACTTTCAGAGTCAGTCCCTCCAATGAATATTCAGGACTGATTTCCTTTAGGATTGACTGGCTTAGTCTCCTTGCAGTCCAAGGGGCTCTCAAGAGTCTTCTCTAACACACAGTTCAAAAGCATCAGTTCTTCAACACTAAGCCTTCTTTATGGTCCAACTCTCACATCCATACATGACTA